TTACATAACAAAAGAAAAGCACATCTGGTAGAAGTATAATCACACTAAAAAATAAAATATCTCTTAACTTAGTTTTACATTTGAGTTTATGCAAGCATTAATGTTTTCTCTTTTTTAAAAACAGTAGCTGTTATGGGAGCCATAATGGTCTGCAGTGAGGCAGATGAACAAACTGAAGAATTAGTGAAATATTCCCAGTTGGTAGCTTCATCATGAGAAAGAAATATTCTCTCAGGGATCTCAATGGGATTTTTAAATCTTGTGTTGAGTGATTTATTGTTTTATATCTACAATTTTAAATTGTTCTGAGAAATGTTTTTGTACTCTAGAGAGAACTAATGAAAACATAACTGAAAATATATACACTGCCTTTTTAAAAATATCTTTGTAATCTTTATTTTAAATTTCCTTTTTATGTTTCCTTTCAAAAAGTTGGTTTTCTTCTGACAATGTTATTCTATTATAAATTTTAATTTTCTTATTCTGGCTTTGTCTAACTTCATAGATTTAAATACCTCAGCAAACCTAAAGTATAAAGATGAAAAAAAATTTCTGATGTGATGTCAATGTGCCAACTGAATGGTATTTATACTTTGTAGTCAGAAATGTTACAATAAAATTGTCTCTGCTTGTGATCTCACATTATGGAGAGTTCTGAGGGTCTGACAACTCCTGACATTATGATATACTCCTATTACATGGTTAAAGAAGACAATCAGAGCAGAGTTCTCAGCAGAGCATGAGAAAAGATTTATAGACATGGCAAAAGAACACTTTGCCTGTTCCCTTCTTTAGATAATTATGACTTTCCATGAATCTCTTTCTATATCAACTACAGAATGACAAATATCTGGGCAAAGAAAAGGCCACAAAAATATCACTTACTGTAAGCACTATTGAGGTTTTAGAAGCACAGTATTGAATTCTCTGTTGTAAGTTCTGCATATGATTCATTATGTGGGATGCTCCCCACCTCTCCACACATCATATATTTCTCCCATTATCATTCAAAAAGGACTTTTAAAACTCCCTCTCTCTGTCAAGTTCATTCTTTTCTCAATACAAGGAGTCAAGAAGAAAATATTCCAGCGTATTTTTCATTGAACAAGTTGAGGAGATGTGATAAAAAGATTTGTCTAACTGATTACATGGTATGAGCACTCTGGAAGGGCTTTCCAGGATTTCAGAAAAAGAAAAAGAACATTTGCAGATATATGTTTTATTTAATCATGAAGGTTTATATAAAGTAACATTTTGAAATGCTAGGCTGGGTGCAGTGGTTCACAGCTGCAATCCCAGCACTTTGGGAGGCGGAGGCAGGTGGATAGCTTCAACTCAGGAGTTTGCGTCCAGCCTAGGCAACGTGGTGAAACCTGATCACTACAAAAAATACAAAAATTAGCCAGGCATGGTGGTGTGCACCTATAGTCCCAACTACTCGGGAGCCTGAGGTAGGAGGATTGTTTGAGCCCAGGAGCCAGAGGTGGCAGTAAGCTGAGATCAGGCCACTGCACTCCAGTCTGAGCAACAGAGTGAGACCCTATCTCAAAAAATGAAATAAAACTTTTATTTTTTTAAATACTGAAATACTGAATTTTGAAAAATGTTTTTTTGTTCTGAAAAGGGAAAGGCAATATTTATAGAGTAGCTACTCTGCAAGGGCCTTTTCTTAGCTTATATCTATGGAAATAACACAGCCCAAGGAGGGAAGAAATATCAGCACCATTTCACAGATAAGCACACTGAGTTAGAGACAGGATATGTGCCCAAGACCACACAGCAAATAATTACAGACCCACAATCTAGAGCTTTGTCTGGCCCCCAATTCATGCTCCTTCCCAAGACCTGAGTATTTCCTACTCCTAAGTTTTACATACAAAAATAGGTAAACACACAGAGTGAAAACAAAAATAATCTAGACTTCTTGCTTTGCAATTATAATCTAAATGCAGAATGGGGAAAAAGAGGTTACTGCTGATTTCATAGTTTATATAATTCCATTTATTTGAAGAATCTGACAATAAAATACTTAAGGGCTGTAACATTTATAAATTTGCAGACTTGCTGAGCTCTGAGCTATGCATATTACCTGCATTACATTTTGTAACTCTTTTAATTCTCACAATAATAACACAAGGTAGGTACCATTACTGTCTCCATTTTAATGATGAGAAAACTAAGGCTGAGAGATTCAAAAGCTTATTCAGGATCATACAAGTGATTCTGTAAGTGGCAGAGCTGGTCTTGAATCTATGATTATAGAATGCTGAAGCGCTCTTATCCATGATGCTAAATTACCTCCTTTAATTACATAATTACTACAAAATGAAACTATAACAAGCCACTAGTTATGTTTATATTTCTATATATTTACAAGCCATATATGACATTATCTACAAAAAAAGTATAATTCTTATATTTAATTACCAAAAAATGTATTAATTCTGTAAAACAAAGGATTAATTCTGTAAAAAAAATGCAGAATCAGTGCCAAAAAATGCATTAATTCTGTAAAAAGAAAACTGCAGAAAACCAATACAGAAGTTAACTTTAAAAGTAACATGTGAATTTAACCTGTCATGTTCCTCATTAAACCTACATTTCTTATCTAAGGTAATTATTCTTCAGTTGTAAAACCTTCCAGACTTTCTCAATTTGTGTCTGTGTGAGTGTATATATATTTATATATAAATATATTTATATATATATTTATCAATGTATTTATATACACACACACATACATACATATATCACATTTTATATTTATGTATGTATGTATGTACATACATATGTATGTATATGTGTGTATATGTACCTATATGTGTGTGTGTATATATATTCCAGATATAACTTTAAGTCACAATACATACCCTAATTTTTTGGCTCAGTAACATACCTTGGAGCTCTTTCGATATTGAAACAATTAGCTTTAATGCTTTCATTCTTCACTTCTGAATAGCTTACCATAATAGAGATATGTCATATTTGAATTTTCCATTTTACAATTGATGAACAATACATTATTCTGTGGGTTTTTTAACCTTTCTCTACAGCCTCCGTCATGTTATCTACCCAATTATTTATTGGATGCTTCTGTTTGGATGCCCAACAGGCGGGCTTCAATTTCCCCATGTCCAAAATGAAATTTATCACCAACCTCCACATTGCTAGCTCCTGTATGTTCTTTTAGTCAGGGCTACTGAAAATGTGAGGAATGCACCAGTGATGGTCAGGGATTATTTGAACTAGTCGATGGTGAAGTAAATACAGAAACTAAGAGAAAGCATTTAGAAACCATAGCACTTGAGCAATGCTGCAACATCTTCCCGTGCTAACATGCTTCTAGTAATTTATTTTTACTGCATTTTACAAAAGTATGCAATGAAAAAGAAATTAAAAAAAAATAAAATAAAAAGCTAATCCGTCACCACAGATAGTCTGAGAAACAGTTACTGCTGCAATTCAGTGAAGGGCCCTACTATCCCTCCAGTCTAAGCCAGAAATGTGAGACTTATTCTTCCTATCTCTCTGACCAAGAATATACATCGATAGATAAGCGAGAGAAAAACCATGAGCATGTTTTTAGAGAAAAGGAATTGCTTTCAAACTATTGTCTTTACTGGTCCCTTTTCCATTAGGTTAAAAACATGCTGATTTTCTCTGATCTTTTGAATACCCTTTTGCAGTCCCACTGGTGGAATTGAAATGGCTCTCCAACTATTGCCTGAGCTCTTTCCTTCTCTCTATAAAAATAATTTTGTTAAACATGTTTAGGAATGCAAAGATCCTTTCCATATTCCCCATTAGTTTTGTTAAACCACTGTAGTGTGATTTTTCCCAACTCCTCTGTTGAAAATCTTAAAGTTATCAAGCATAAACTTATTTGTATGAGTTGGCGGAAAAGTAATTGTGGTTTTTGCTATTACTTTTAAATGCAAAAACCGCAATCACTTTTTCACCAAGTTAATAAATTTGCTGTTGAGATCTTTTTTTCCTTGACTTCTGTGCAATATATAATACCATTGACCATTCATCCTTCCTCAACACTCAGTCTGTCCAATAGTTTCTGTTTCAAATCATTCAAGTAAAATGTGAAGTTATCTGTCAATAGGTGTAGGATGTAAAATTGCCCCTGTAGAGATTAAGAGAGGGCTCTGTCTATAGAAAATGTAAAGATGGCCAGGCAGTGTTGAGGGCCTGGGTCAGCCTGGAGACCATCAATGTGGAGTAGCACCGACTGCTTCTTTCTCTTATTTTCCTTGGCGAATGTAGCCCTGGTGTAGATACAGAGAAAGTGGGTGGTTGGATTGACCCAGAGTTTGTCATTTTAAAGAGTTTGGGTGGTAGCTGAATGTTACTAGAGCAGATAAGATTACTGAAGGAAAACATGTCAAAGGAGAAGAAAAAAAAAACAAGGATAAAATCCAGACAATGTTAATATTTAAACAGTTGGCAGAAAAGGTGTTTACTGATGACACTAAGAAAAAATAATAGCCAGATGAAAGGACAAACATGAAAAGGCAGGGGCTAAAAATTTGAGGAGCGAGTTTTAAAAGGTAGGTGTGATCAATAGTAGCCACTGTAAGCAATTTATGCTGTATGGGGCAGGGAAATATATAATTGGTTGTAAAAATTAAGAAGTCCTGAGTGATTTTTATCAAGGTAGTTTCAGAAACACCCTGAGAAGTTCATGCAGAAACAGCTTTTGCTGAATCAGACATGAACATTGCTTCTGCAGCTCTGGGACTTACACTAGTGGCCATGATATTCCCAAAGCCATAAAATATATGACCACAATTAGTGGGCAGAAGCAAATCTCCCTGGAAAAATCTTTGTACGCACAATGCCTTCCCAAAGGCTTTGACCAGAGAGTGTTATCTGTCATCATCTGCTCTACTGCATAAACCATCCAGGCTGCTCTGTGGAAGTCATTCAATCAAGACAAAGTCCTTTTACTTTGATAAAGAGAAATAGCAAACTACAAAGCTGATATCTCCTACCTAATGTCACTTCCACGCTCTGTCTTAATAGACTTCTACGCTCTCATGTCCAACTTTTTATGGTAATTTTCTTCTCTTTCTCTTCTCCAAGACTTCTTTCTGCTTAAAAAAAAATCACATTAGGACATAAAAACCTTCTAAATCAATAAAAAAAAGGACTAATATTTTTTTGGTCTTCCCATTTCCCATTTGTATTTTTCATTTTTTTATTCCAAAAGCTATCCCAAGAGCCCTCCGTGTCTTGGCACATGTGTCATGAAAACCCCAATCACTTCCTCCCACTTACAAAGTGCCTGATGAAGGGAGCACAAATTTTTCATCACCCAATTTGAGGGAAAAGAGTTTGCAAATACAAAACTTCCTAATATGTCAAAAGCCCAAGAGAAGTCTCACAACCACCCTGCAACTTCAAGTGTCACTCAGTAAAGAGGAAAATTCTGCTTTTTCAGAAAGCACTGAACAATAAACATGTTCTAAATGCCACGATGTTAAACACGGGACAGGGGAAACTACTTCATTGGATGCATTCCCTGCTCTATTCTAATTTAGTACTATGGCAAAATCAATGCTTCCTGGCCTCCCAATTTCATTTTATAATTGTGATGGTTGGTATTGAGTGTCAATTTAATTGGATTGAAGGATGCGAAGTATTGTTCCTGGGTGTAAAGGAGATTAACATTTGAGTCAGTGGACTGGGAGAGACAGACCCACCCTTGATCTGGGTGGGCACCATCAAATCAGCTGTCACTGTGAAAGTGGAATTAGCAGATTTGCTGAGTCTTCCAGCCTCCATCTTTCTCTGGTAATGGATGCTTCCTGTGCTTAAACATCAGACTCCAAGTTCTTCAGCTTTTGGACTCTGGAACTTACACTAGTGATTTGTCAAGAGCTCTCAGGTCTTCAGCCACAGACTGAAGGCTGCACTTTCTGCTTCCCTACTTTTGAGGTTTGGGAACTCAGACTGCCTCCCTGGCTACTTAGCTTGCAGACGACCTATTGTGGTATTTCACCTTGTGATTATGTGAGTCAATGCTCCTAATAAACTCCCCTTCATATATCTATCTATCCTATTAGTTCTGTTCCTTTAGAGAATCCTGACTAATAGTTGTCTTTCAGGTATATCCCAAGCTAGCTACCATGCAGTTAGGGAGGGCTATGACTCTGTTCCAGCCAATGAAATGTGAGAAGAGGCAACAAGGCTTGAGGTGGACTCCCTGTAATAGTGAAGGTGGAGTTAATGCATAAGATGGTAGATACACAATATTCAAGCAGCCTGGTTTGCATCAGCTGAGATATCACATGGAGACCTGTCATCATCAAGTATCTCTCTACTTGTAATCAGGCTTTTCATGAGTGACAAACTTTTGTTGTTTAAGCCACAAGATTCAAAGTTTAATTTGTTTTAATTATTTAATTTGTTACTATTAAACTATAAGTTTAATTTGTGTACATAGTCTTTTCTATCTTGATTAATAGAAGCTTCATGCAATTGTAAACCTAAAAGGGATTTTATTCTCCAATTTCTTCCAAGCCCCAATGAGTATGTGTGACATGACCAGTATCACAAAATTACTGAGTGGTGCACAGGAGCCTAGAATGCCAGTCCTCTGACATTTGGTTCACTGCTCTCTCTTTTATAACAAAGATTACAATCTATGATATTGGAACAATAGTGACAAATATTTTGATAGCATGCTTTTATCAACATTTTAGAAAACTAGACACACTTCCAGCACTTTGGGAGCCCGAGGTGAGTGGATCACAAGGTTAGGAGTTCAAGACCAGCTTGGCCACAATGGTGAAACTCCATCTCTACTAAAAAATAAAATAAAATAAAATAACCAGGCATGGTGGCGGGTGCCTGTAATCACAGCTACTTGGGAGGTTGAGGCAGAGAATTGCTTGAAACTGGGAGGCGAAGGTTGCAGTGAACTGAGATTGCACCAGTGCACTCCAGACTGGGCAGCAGAGTGAGACTTCATCTCAAAAAAAGAAAGAAGAATAGGCACACTTATACATATAGGCATAATAAATAAATATTATTTTTAAATGTATGTGTATAAATGCAGAAATATATGTGACTACACATAAGAGAAGGGTAGTTCCTTCAGTGTCTTTTACATAACGTGTTGGAACTTGGTACCACCCATCTTGATAAAGATTTGTAGACTCATATTGTTGTTTTAACTAGAAACTGCCCTAAATATTACATATTGTTTAGTTTTTCATTTGCTCTTGGTAAATGAGGAAGCAGAGGTCCAGGAAGTTAAACTGTATTTCATGAGTTCATATGATCTATAGGAGGGTAATGTTTGAGAGAGAATACATTGATAGTCTTTAGGAATTATTTATTATTACTATCTGCTAGGGACTAGGAACAAAGCAAAATAGTGTGAAGAGAATTGCTGTCCATTACATAAGACTGAGATAGTCTCTTGGATTCCTCAAGGGAAGGGGGTGATGAAAATAATGTCACTCCAACTTCTGTTTTCCCTTGTGGTTGAATAAGCCATTATGATAAATTATCTCCCACCTTGTGTGCCTATGTGATTTCTCTGCACAAGCTTTCCTTATTATGATGTTTTAATCTCCTTTCTTGGTAAAGTACTGATGCCCTAGATTCAAATGATCCTCTGTTAGACTCTAGTCTATGTGAGGCCCTGAGGTCCTGAGGTCCAACAGGTCTCTACTAGTGATCTATTTAATTTTTTCATTGTCAAAGAGCAATGCAATTCCTTCAGAAAGCTCTGCTTGAAAGATAGTATTTCAAATCCCCTCCTGTTTATGAAGTATAATACTCTATTAGAATTGTGAATATTATATGTACATATATACGTAAGTTCAACAGCCACATTCCATAATATAAGCCAAACATAATCAAAAATCTATGATCCTGCTCTCAGCAACCCAACCACAGAGCTCACAATTCCTCTCTGTTGGTTAGCTTTTACCTTGCCTTCATTAGTCAACAAGTAGAAGCTTTTCTTTTTCATTTTTTTAAAGGTATTTGACACATAGTAACTGTATACATTTATGGAGTACATAATGACGTTTTGATACATATAATATATAGTGATAAGATCAGGCAATTAGCATATCTACCAACTCAAACACTTATCCTTTCTTTGTATTGTGAACTTAAAAAAAACTGTTATACATCAACATTAAAGCATCCCAAATGCTGGTTATCCCTCCACTTGAAAAATTATGAATATAACATTGCCTCCCACCAGTTAGCAATAACCATAACTCCCATATGCCTTCATGATACTTGGGACATATGTTAATTACAGATTATTTCATTGTGACTTAGTATGATACATTTGTATAAGTCCCTCCTATTTAACTGTAAGTGCTTTAAGGTAGGGTATTGCTTTGTATATGCCTACATCCCTGACACTGATATTAAAAGTTAAATTTGTTTGTTTCATTAAGTAAGATGATGAATAGCTATGGAAGTAATTATTTGAAAATGATGGAAAGGATCCCATAAATGTAAATAAATTACATGTACAGAAGGTAAGAAAGCGAGATTCAAAGCTGATTCTGACTTTACTGATCATGAGTTTTACATCCATTTATCTTTCAGGGGGTCAGGCTCACAAACCGGCCTTTCTCTTTGTAAGATAAATGCCTTTTCAGATGCACAGAAACACCCATCCTTGGCTTGAAAAAAAAAAAAAAAAAAAGTGAAGTAAAGAAAAAAAACAGACTCCATGCAGAAATCAGAAAGTAGGGCAAGGCCCAAAAAGATGGTAGCTGATAAACTCTGTTCTCTGAGAAGGAAGAAGAAAATGCCTTCTCCGACTAACCCAGCCAGCTTCAGCTTCAGTTCACTACATTTTCAATAGGTGGAAGCACATCAAGCCTAGAGTAAGAAAAGGGTCCTTCTGGAGTATATGATTTGTCTAAATCCTGCACAAAGAGCAAACATAAAAGCATAGGAAAAGAAAACTATGATGCTGGAGCAACCCTGGTAGCATCCAATGGGACTCCCTCTCACTGGATTGCCAGTTAAGTGTTAATGAGAAACCTGGGAGTACCCCCAAGATACCATGGGCAAGACTTATATTCTCCCCATTTATTTAATCCTCAAACTGAATATCATCATACCAGGCACTCACGCACAGGGAGAGTTAAAAGGATGTTTGTAATATGGCTTAAAACCCCTGATGTGAAAGTGACTTTCTGAAGACAAAGCTGTGGTGATGGATCTAAGTTCTTCACACTTCCTGTAACTTGCTCTGCTTCCTAAAATTCTATTCTCTGAGTTGACTTTGCTTAGCTGGTATTATATTTTAGATAAACCTATCTATTAATAATTCACTCATTTCTCATTTACATTGTTATGTTTGTTTTCTTAAGGAAGTAAGAGTATTGATTTTAATTCCTATATCATGAAGCAAATTATTTCTGACCTCTGTATGTACAGAAGATATGCATTTAAACTGCAACTCTTACTAGCCATAAAACACCCTGCTGAATCATGAATATTAAAGCAGATAACTTTCCATCTTGAGGCCAAGGGTGTATGCTTCCATGGGAAAACAAAATAAGGTGATTTAATTTTAAGAAAAATAATTGAATCATGTAGAAGTTGGGGAAAGTTTACGGAGGACTATAAGAGCTTAATATAAGAAAATCTAAATATTATTGCCATAATTGTAATGCTACAGAGGAAAATATATTCAGAATTATATCATTCCTTTATAACTGAAAAACAACTATATTTTCCTCAGGAGGTAAGTTTTTACTTTAGTGATCACTAATTCTTACCTTAACTTCCCAGGATACAGTTTTTTCTTATTTGTCTTGCCACTCTATTGAGGCATGTAAGGTCATGGCCTTGGAAAGGCTGTACACAGACACACACACACACACACACACACACACACACTCACATATGCACACACATACACACATCTATGACATTATCAAAATTTCCTAAGGCTAATTTATAATTATCCTTTAAGATTTGTTATATGTACATGGTATTAATACTTTTTTTTTTCCAAAATCAAGAGTGTTGTGAATTTCCTCAAATTGATCCCTCTAAAATGTTTAAATTAGAAGTGAAAGTATGGATGCACCATTGAGA